CCCTGGACAGAAATCAAAACGGAACCTCTCTATAAAGAGGACTACCCAAGGGCTTGTGGCTGGGAAACAAACTCCTCCTACCTTGGTCTGATCTCTTGCTAAGGAAGCCTCTTTCCTTGGTCCCAGCTTTGTTCCCACTTACTGGAGGAGAAATAAAAAAACAAAACAGGACCTATTTTAAAGAGGGCAGGAGTTGGACAGCCACTGGCAGATGCGGGAAGGATCATAAGGAAATGGATTCTAGCTAGTGACATCACCCAGAACTTCACATTTTTAATAAGTACTGATTGACAGATGGAAGGAAGTCGAAGCAAATGCCAAGGGAAGATCTACACGGGCTCAGAGATTTTGAGTTAGAAATGCTCTCCTTCCATCTCTTCCCAAAAGCAAGGCACCTGGGGAAGTCACAGAGTGGTGATTAAGGTTTCTCTGGGACCTTCTGAGTTCCCAGGCCAGGCCTACAGGGAGATAAGCTTGGCCCCAGGCACAGCCTCTTCTCTCCTGACATCTTTCTGCCAGATGGTCCCTCTCATATTTTAGAGGTGCTTGGCCCTCCTGGTTCATGCAACCTGCGCCAGAGAACTTTGGTCCACCAAGTTTCCTCCTCCTCCACCCCCCCCCAGCGAGCAGGAGCAGGGTCTGGGTGCTGAAGGGAAGGGGAGGCCAGGCAGGGAAATGCTTGGTGCCCAAGAAGGCGCTCTGGACCTAAAGCACTGGCTCCAGGGTATGGAGAGAGCCTTCCCCCTCGGCCAGCCGGCAGCAGGAACACACACCTTTGGCCTTTTGCTATTTACTGGGTGAATCCCCCTATTACAATCCAGAATCTCCCAAAATCACAAATGTTGTATGAAAACATAATCAGGTTGTGGATTCAATCCGCTAGTAATTGTTGATTGAAAAAGAAAGGAGAGGGGGAAACACACAAATCAGTCCTGCAGGGCCTATGCCTGGGGAGTTGTGCTTTCTTGGGGACCCTCACAGCACATATCCCCCCAAAACCCAGTCTCAGGACTCCCTGTGGTGATCTCCGGGGAGCAGCTGAAGGATGTCGGGGCTCCTCTCTGCAGTTGAGGCCTACGGGACACCCTGGAAGGAGACACCTTCTGGAGGGGTTAAGATCCCTGCAAGCCTTCTGCGCTCCTGTGGCCTCCGCAGGATTCCCCCAACTCTCCCCCCCATCCCCTCACCCCCCGGAAAAAAATAAATAAAAAGCGCTCAGACTGCTGCGAGAGGGGCCCTACTGTCTGCCTGGAGATCCTGTCCCAACAGGAGCTCTCCCCTTTCCCTGAGCATCTGGGAGTGTGCCCCCAGATCCCAGCTTCTGGGCTCGGAGAACACGCTGCCCCCTCCCTCCCGCAGTCCTCAGAGGCCACCCCAGTCCTTCAAAGGGGCCCCCAGACTGGAGCAGCCCCCGCACAGTCGGGCGCCGGTATTTGAGCTTTCGTTCTGATAGAAGTTTGGGGAAAACACAGTGCACAGACATTTGAATCACGTATCATCCCGGCCACAATTGTTGAGCAGCTGGGTCCGGTGTTCCTGTGGAAACCGCTAGCACCCTAAGTGGGTTGGTGGGACCTGCTGGTATGGTTACACGAGTGCCAAGCGGATGGTGCTCAGGGAGCGCCTGGTTCCGCTGGAGAGCGCGGTGCAACCTGAGGGGCGACGTCCCTTCTGTTGGCAGCCCCGCGCCTCCGGCCTGAATTCAGGGCTCCGGCCTGAATTCCCGGGCCACCCATCGGCGGACACGGCGCACCGGGACGCGGCAGCTAACGTCCTCTCCGGGGCCCCCTCCCCCTCCCCTGGGAAGGTCGTGGGGTCTGCAAAGGCAGCAGCACACCCCGGGGTCAGAGGCCCCAGGCCCTGCCCCAGACCTTTGTCACAAAAGGCAGCTCAACCTCTACAATACGGCCGTGTGGATGGAGCGGGGCCTGCTCGGGTTCTGGGGACCAAACCATTGCCGGTGCCGGCGCGCACGGAGGGAAGGGACGCGGCCCCCGGCCCTCCGCCCGGGCGCACCCCGCAGGCCGCCCGGCGAGAATCTCCCCGCGCGACCGAGTCGCCTCCCTCGGAGCCGGTGCCGCTGACACGTGTGGCGCTGGATGTAGGCTCCGGGGTGGGAATCCCCGTGGAAGCACCCCCTCCCCAACGCTCCCGCTCGGCGCGGGCCCACCCGGGGCGCGTCCGCCTCCCGCCGGCGCCCCGCGCGGGGCCGCGGACAGATGTTCCTGCGGGGCCGGCCGCGGGGAGCCCGGCCGCGGGGAGCCGGGGCGGCGGGCGGCGCTGGCGGGGCTCCGGGCTCCCGGTCGGGGGTGCAGGCAGGCGTGGGGAGGGCGAGGGGATGGAAAGAGGAGGGGGGAGGGAGTGGGTGGACTAATGATGAAAAAGTCTCCTCCATCCCGGCTCCTTAATTAAATGCATGGAAAGAACCGAGGCGTGCACATCTGGTTTCAATCTGCAGCCCTTTGATGGCATCAAATGTTCTTTTCCCAGATCAGGGCCGGGAGTTCTGGGCTAACGACGGCCGTTTGGAGCCCAGAAACCATTTACACACACTAGGACCCTTTCTCTTCAGTCCAGTCTCTGGGCTATAGGAGAAAAAAGGAAGAAAGAAGAAGAAAAAAAGAAATCTAGTAATCAAGGGAGATGGCGCGCGCGCGCGCGCGCGCGTGTGTGTGTGTGTGTGTGTGTGTGTGTGTGTGTGTAAGGAACATAAAACGCCACAAATAAGCACTTAATATTTTACTTACTCATATAGTAACTCATTTCTAATGAGACTATTAGAGCTGTTACCAAATTCCAACAGGTCATGAAAAAAAAAGTCCCTCGGCACCTCCCTGTCCTCTGTCAGGTTAGGGCTCAGCAGACAGACGACAGAGCATTGTCTGTCCACTTCGGTGGGACCCCCTTCCCCTCCCCAAGCCGCGAGGTACCGGGCGGGACCCTGCACCGCCGCAGCCTCCGCCGGGGAGCGCGCAGCCGGCTCCGCATCCGGGCAGCGCGCCCCTCCGGGTTCAGTCCCTGCCCGGGGAGCGACCTTGGCCGCACCAGAAAGGTTACGAAATTGGGCGGAGGGGGGGGGGCGCGGGAGGGGGTGAGGAGACGGGGAGCATTTGTGATAGACTTCCAGAGTCCTTTCCTCCAGCTAAATAAATATGTAGATTTCCTACCGCCCCGGCGTGGGTAGGGGTGGGGGTGGGGGTGGTGAGGATGGGGGGGGGGGGGGGAATCCCAGCGGCGCGGAGAACCTCGGATCGATTCGGTGCCTTCCGATCGCCCCCAATCTGCCCTCGTCCGCGGAAGAGGCGTGGGAGACTCCCATTAGGATCGCTCCCGTTACTTTATGGTATTATTTAATAGGTTGTCTCTGGAGGGCCAAACGCAGCCCTCCTGTGCTTTGCTCTCTCCCGCGTTCTCTCTGAGCCGCTCCTCCACCGCTCCCCCCACGGCAAAAAACCCAAAAACTTTTAGAACAGCAGGAAACATTAAAAAAAAATGTTTTTTTAAAGGCAGAGAGGGGAGAAAATTTGATGGAGATAGTTGTGGATGGTCTCCAACCAGTTTTCCTACAGCTGCTATCAAAACATGCAAATGAGACTTTTTTCCCCCTCAACAGGATCTTAAACGAATCCGGAGGAGTTAACGCGCCGAAGCAAAATAATCTTCGCGTTTGAAGTGACTGTGGGTTTCAGTTTGTCTGTTCTCCCTGTGATACTATTGCAGGGGAATGATAATTAGACCTTTACTTGAAAAATCCAAAGGGGCTCTCTCTCTCTCTCTCTGCTTTCCCTTCCCTCCCTCTTCCCTGCCCCCTCCCTCCCCTCCCTCTCCCTCTCTCGCTCCCTCCCTCCCTCCCTCCCTCTCTCTCTCTGGCTCAGATGTTGGCAAAGGGGGTTTTCTTAATCAGACTGTTTTTTGGTCCGAGGGAAAAGGAGGAAGAAGGAGATTGTGATGGAGAAAGGGGGTCTGTAAATCGTCAGGCACCGCACAAAGGCTTTGCCACGTAATTACAGGCTCCTATTAAGTCGAGATCTGCCCTCCCAGGGGTCTCCAATTTTCTTGTATTCCCTACAAAGCGTCCTCTGCATGCCAGTTTGTGCCTTTTGAAGTGCCAGAGAGCTTCTTGATCCAACTGAGAAGGAAAAGGAGCTGAGCAAGAAGAGGGGGAGAGAGAGAGGAGAAGGGGAAACCCACCACCACCACCACCACCCTCCTTCGGACTCCTGAAGCCTTTTTCCCCTCCTCCTTCCTCACGAAAAGTAAAGTGAGAATCCTGCTCTCCAGTACATCTGCAAGACATCACCCTCTCCTCCTGAAACTTTAGTCACTCCTGAGAATCCGCAGGAGTGCGGAGAGGGGGAACACGCTTTCTTGAAGATGTTTTAAAGCTGGGACAAGCCTTCTTCTGTTGGTGCTTGAACTCTTGCCTGGGAATAACTTTTTTAGCCTTAAAAAAAAAAAAACACCCACTTTGATTCTTCTCTCCCACCCCTTCTCCTCTCTTCTTGTGTTTGCCTAACTCCCCCGCCCTGCTGGCTTCCCCTCTCTCCTCTCTCCCCCTTACTATTATTTTTAGTGTGTGCGTGTGGACGCTTTTGGAGAGAGAGGTGGAAGGAATTCTTTTCTCCTGACTTGAACGGAGGGTGACTGTCGGACTTCATTTTTTTGGTGTGGGTTATCTCCTTGGATCGCGCCCGCCGGACTTGGCCTCGGGAAGGCAGCCGGGCTGTCAGAGGCGGCGGCGGGAGAGCGCTCTGCTCTGCACCAGGGGTCCCCCGCCCTCTTTCCACTTTTTTTCTTCCCCCCTGATCTTCCCCTCCTTCTCTCTCTCTCTCTCTCTCTCTCTCTCTCTCTCTCTCCCTCTCTCTCTCTCTCTCTCTCTCTCTCTCCTCTCCACTCCCCCTCTCTCTTCCCCACTCGGCTCCTCTCCCCCCTCGCGCCCACAGCGTTTGGTGTTGATTCGAGCGGGAAGAGGGGGGTGGGTGGGATCCGAGGGGGAGACCATGACCTCCAGCTACGGGCACGTCCTGGAGCGGCAGCCGGCGCTGGGCGGCCGCTTGGACAGCCCGAGCAACCTCGACACCCTGCAGGCGAAGAAGAACTTCTCCGTGAGTCACCTGCTAGACCTGGAGGAGGCCGGCGACATGGTGGCGGCGCAGGCGGACGAGAGCGTGGGCGAGGCGGGCCGCAGCCTGCTGGAGTCGCCGGGGCTCACCAGCGGCAGCGACACCCCGCAGCAGGACAGTGAGTGGGGCCGGCGGGGCTGGCACCGAGGGCGGGGGCCAGGGGGAAGCAGGGGGCCGGAGAGGCGGCGGCAGTGGCCGGAGGAAGGGCCGGAGTGAGAAGGGGGCTCCTCTGAAGGCGTCGCCAGGGCAGTCGGTCGGGGTCAGGAGCACCGAGGCCGCGTGCACCGTCCCCGTCCCCAGCGAGCAGGGCGGCGGGGCTGGGAAGGGTGCACACGGGCGGGGCCCGCCCTGTTTGCGGGGAAGACGCCCTGCAGGGGACAGGAGGGCTTCTGCCAGCGCTGGGTGCGGGTGAGGGGCCGCAGGGACAGAGGCGGACAGAGGGACAGAGCACGGGGCTCGCGGGCTCTGGGGGCCTGGCGTGCGGGGCGGGCTGCGCTGGAGCGCCCGACAGCCTCCTAAGCTGCCCTCCGTCCCCTCCACCTGCACATGGGGTGCTGGGGTGGAGAGCCTGGCACTGTCAAACGCCTGAATGAATGAGTCCTCTGGTGTGAAACCCGCAAGATCCCGTGCGAGATGCGCAGGGCAAGCTGGGCTCCCATGCGGAGCCCGGTGTCACTTCGGAGGAGTTCCCCCATTGGCATCAAAACCTCCGGGAAATTGCAGCGCGGTCTCCCTTCCCCATCCTCCCGGGACTGGCAGTAGCGCCCCCAGGAATATCGCCCTCTGTGACTAACCAAGCTTTAAAGCGTGACTCTCACGGACCTGACACCTAGCTGTCCCAGGTGACCCGGACGGCGAGTTCCTCCTTGGGCTCTGCAGGAGCCTAGACGTGGCTGGAAGTTTTAAAAGGCGCGGATCTCTGTCCCTGTCACCATTTGCCAACTGCTATTTTGTCTTCCAATTTGGAACTTGTGGAACCAGGCATTCTGTGACTTTCAAAGACATGGCTAATGTCAGACTTTCAGAAAATAGACAAACTAGACCCAGAAACAGCTGGAGGCAAGGCCTGGGCAAAGCAGTGGGAGCCCCCAAGGGGAGGGAGCGGGGCTCCCTGCAGTGTTTTAGCCAGAATAGAATTGGGACCCATGTACTCGCAGAGGCAGAGGGCCATGGGGCGTCTGACCTGGCCTGTGCCTAGGGAACAATGGCCAACTCTGAGGATGAAGACCGGTGTCCCCAACTGTAGGTAAGGGCCAGGCACAGAGGCAGGGGTTCCTCCGGCAGCGGATAGTGGATAGTGGTGCCGGGTACTGCTCTTGTTGCACACACAGGTAGCATTAATTGTCTGCGTAGACACTTTTAGCTCAGAGAAAATGCACTGTATAATGATATCATTCTTTTTAAAGGTTTACTAGGGAACATTTAAATGCATGAGGAATAGGGAGAATAGTATTCTATGCGCCTATTGCTCAGCTTCAGCATTTCTGCACATTCTGGCCTCGTTTCCCATGGCTAATGACCAATTCCAAAAGCTATCGCTATTCAGAGCCCAGAAGGTTGGACCCACCACAGAAAACAGAGTGGTGAAGAGAGTGCTGCTTAGAGGAGGGTGGGGCGTGCCTGTCCAGCCCGAAGTGTGAGCAAAGGGCTTGCAAAGCAGGCCCAAGGCCCCGGGCAGCAGCAGGCTCAAGGCCCAGGTGGGCAGCTGTGGGCACAGGGTGCCGCAGAGCGAGGCTGGGCCAAGGAGGCTGCATGGGAAGCGCCCTCAAGCCCAGGTGAAGGCTGTGCCTGAGGTGGAGGAAGGTGACTCCGGGGGCAGCTCCTGAGACCCAGGCCTCTGGCCGTCCAGGCCTGTCGCTGCCCACGTGGCATCTGCTGGGGCAGGAGGGCCCGCAAAGAGCAGTGGGCTCAGCTGGGGACTGTGTCAGGGGAAAGGGATGAGAGCTGCAGGAACCTGCCTGCTTGGTAACTGTGCACACCTCAGAGAATGCAGTACCAAGGCCCCGTGGGGAGCGGCGGATCAGAAAGAAAACGGAGGTTTCCAGGGCAGCCAGGGAGAGGACATTGAGGAAGGATGGTCCATAGAGTTACGAAAGGAGGTGCAGAAAGCAGAGCTGAGGTGATGGGGGGAAATCACCTTCACCTGGGGCCACACACACACACACACACACACACACACACACACGACAGGCTTAGTTTTCCTAGATTTCTAGAGATGTCAGGAGGCCTATTCTCACAATAGTTGTTGCTCTTAGAAATAATGTTCCCTTGTCCTTCTCCATCATCTCTGGAGCGAAGGGGAGGACCTTTGCCCTCGATTCTCCGGCCTCCCTCAGGAGTAGCCCAGAGGGTGGTTGTGGGCTACCTGGAAGCCGCACAGACTGGGCCTCCAGTCTGGGGGAGACAGTGGTCGGAGACCAGAGGAGTCTCCAGGCAGAGACTAGAGCTGGGCTCTGAGCCCGCCAAGGGCAGAGGCCTCACCGAAAGTCAGGCGCTTCCTGCAGCCTGCTGGGAGGCCCCTCCAGACTGAGACCTGAAGAGAATCTCCTTCGGAGAGATGGGGAACCTTCTGAGACACCTTTTATTCTCCCAGCCATATGGAAACAGGTCCTTCCTAAAGTTTCTTTAGGCTGAAATTGGTAAAAAAACAAACAAACAAAAAAAAAAAAAAACAGACTCCATTTACACTTGCACCTTTAGATCATTAATGTTGCAAATTTTTGAATTACAACCTGGGCAAGGAACTGCTAAGTGTCCTGTCTAAAGTGAGGGCTCCTGCTGATCTGCACACCCACCCCCTGGAATTCTGTTTCCCTGTTGGTTGAGATTCGCTCCCCTTTCTTTCCTGCACTACGGATTCTCCCAGCCCATAAGTTTCTAAAACTTTTAGGTTCCAATACCTTAAGGGTTTAAGGAAACTGTTCTTTAACACTGTTGGGAATGCAGTGGCTAGATGGGGAGTGTGGAGTGTGAAGGGGGGTAGTGGTGTTAGATCGGGGGGCAGTCGGGGAAAGGAAAGAGGAACAGGTCATAAAACAGGCAGACTACTCCTAGGAGGACTGTGCATCCCGCTGTCATTTCTTAATCTGAACTTCTGCAAACTCTTAAAAAAAAAAAAAAAAAAAACCTGCCTTCCATGTTCCCAGCCTCTAAATTAGTGAAACCAGATTGTCCTAATAAGACCTTTTGTTGGAAACACATGTAGTCATAAAAAGGTAGACGGAAAGTCAATTAGACACGCGCGGGCACACGCACACACTCACAGGCCGGCGCTAAGTGTGCGCCGCCGGACGCAGCTGGGGCCCGGCCAGGGCGGATGCGAAAGCAGCGCAGAGGCCGGGAAATGTTTTTGTCACAAAGGGAGAGGTGTAAACGCGGCCCGGGGACTCAGCGCCCAATCCCTCCGCCACACCACACACCGGGCCCACCTCTGCCAGCCAGTCCCCGTGCGATAAACTCCTAGGGGAGCTTGGACATCCCCTAGGCGCGCTGCCTTTGGAATTGCATCAGAATATCCATTTCCCCAGGGTCTCAGCGTTTACAGACTTCTGCGGTGCAAGGAGTTCTGGGGCGCCATCCTGGGACCCAGAGCGCGTGTGGCACTCTGAATTTGAGCCTCCATGATCTCCCCTCGATGGGGAGTCAAGAAAATGCATCCTTTGAAGGGTAGTCAGGGAAGAAAATCTCTTTAGAGGAGGTACTAAAATCTAGGATCACGGGGAAGGAGTGTCACTGAGTCCCCAAAGTCCAAAGTCAAGGTCAGAGTAGAGGTGGTGAATCCTGTTTTATCTTACACGCAGGGGCAGGGGCTGGATTGCCTCCGTCCCTTAAATTAATTTTGGGAAAATGGACAGGCTGGCGACTCCCACCGCCTTGGAGCCAAGCACCACTCGGAGTTTGCAGTGTCGGGAAGGAAGGTGGGACACTCAGTCCGAGGCCCCAGGCTGCCAATGCTCCCTGCTCCAGATCCCCACAACCCTAAGAAACAGTCGCTGCCTCCACATCCATTTCTCAGCTCGGGCCCTTTCCGGGACCCGGACCCGGACCCGGAGCGCCTCTCCCGCAGCTCAGGCGGCGTCCCCGAAGCTCGCCCTGCGGCTGGGCGGCCTCAGCCTTGCGCGCTCAGGTCGGAGAGGAGAGGCGTCAGGCGGGCAGCAGCAGGTCACAAGGGTCCCTGCCGTTTCTTCAGCTTCCCAGGGCCTCGTTTTAGATTTTACAACCCGAGTGAATAAATCATCTCCAAACCAACAAGGTACCACTCACCCACGCCACCCCACTCCACGCAAACCCCCCAATCCCAACCCCCCAGCAACTTCAGAAACGCGTCTTCCTACCCCGCTGGGTCGGAGTTCTGAACATCGCCCCTACAGCAGCCACCTCCTGGATGCTTTTTCACGTTTAAAAGGCATCAGTAGGTTTTCAGCCAGGAGGGTCTCTAAACTAATTGGATTCCTACTTAAAAAGACTTTGTTTCTTTCACAATTCCCTCCCTCCTGCAGCAGAGAACCCCACCAAAAGCTGACACCCCAGCTCCTGGAAAATCTCCATCACAGAGGCCCATGGGCCGCGGGTACCGGGAGGGATGCTGCAAGTCTGTGCGGCGCGAGAGAGGGTCCCTGCTTGCCGCCCGCTCTTGGTAGCACGGTTCGCAAAAATACGTATTTCTTTTTTTACCCTTTCCGAGAGAAGGAGTCAGCAAAAACTTTAGGCAGTATAATTTTTAGAAATGAAGGAGACAGGCTTGCGTCTTGCTTTTTTTTTTTTTTTTTTTTTTTTTAATAGAAGAGAAGAGTGTTTGGGTAAAGAATCTCCGGGAAGAAAAAGTAAAACGGGGAGGGGGGGTTTAGCATCCTCCAAGCGATTCCTAAATTCACACAACGGGATCCTCAGAGTATTCTTCTGCGCCAGAGATTAGGCATTTACAGGAACTATTCGATAAGGGGCAACTCCTTGCAGCCTCCTGGTATCCAAACACTTACCTGAGCGCACACGCTGTCCCTGCAATCTCTGGGCACTCTCTGTGGAGTATCCTGCGGCTTAATCTGATGCAGGGGCCCCAATCCCACTGCACAGATGTCCTTTATCTCCCTTTTCAATAATACTAAGAGGATGCATTCG